AAATGGCACGCAAAAGAACCAAGAAAAACTTTTTATGAGCTTCGAGGGATACAGAAAATCGATGTATCTCCATTAAGGTAACTAAGAAAGTCATACTCGAAATACCGAAACGAAATTCTTCATATACAAGTTTATATAATGATATATATATTGTTTTTATATTTCAGCTTAAAGTTGTATTAGGGTAAATCTACATACAAGGAACAATATAAGCTGTAGACGACAGCTATGACCTCAAAATATGATTCATATCGACAATGACAGCAAACCAAGCAGCCAACCAGTCAAGTAGTCAGTCAGCGAGTTATGCCATGCCAATCCATCGAAGTTGATTGCTTTGAGTGGTTTTGGTTGCGGTTTATTTAGATACATACTTATAGAGCAAATTGTTCAATCGCTACGTCAATGTGAGGCCCATTAAAGAAAATGGGCTCTACTTTCGTATTGCAGATATGTCCATTAAGTTGTTTATTATTCTGTCAATGCCAATTTAATCATTATATGTCTGACTATATGCGGATTATAATAGGTACTTAAGAAATTGCAAAACACTTAACTTTCCCTATTATTTCAAGGGATTTTTGCTAGTTAAAAGTAAAGCCATAATTGCTAATATTAATGCTAAAGTTGTAAATAACTCGCCCAAACAAGATCCGTATAAACCTTATATTGTTTTGTCGAATTTATAAAATTATATAAATATTATTTGACGGAACGTTAAGTCGAGAGCTTACTGGAATTGTGCCAAAAACCACAAACTAATGAAGCGGTCGACTAAGTGCACAGGCTCAGGCTCCAGGCCTTTAGGGAGGGACCTATCATGTACCATGTGCCTGCCTCAAATGTTGGCGACATTGGACATTGTGGGTTTAATGGTTCAAAGAGCTGGAGAGCTGGTCTCTGGAGCTTACCGAAACCGCCGACGCTGCTGCTGCTGTTGCTGCTGCGGTTTGCGGTTCTCTCTGTGCCCTATGCAATTGTTCGTGCTCCTGGGCCGTAATATGAACAGCAAATCACCACACCATCAACAACATAAGTCTTATACAGATATATTTTCCAAAATGGCGACTGCATGCTACTGATATAGATACAAAACAGTTAAGCTGCAGGGGTCCAAAACGTGATGCAGTTGCAATAAAATTTCAACTCGGCTTATACAGTTGAAGGCGTACAGCTAAGACGATGGGCGTGGCCAAGCTGTCGAATGCAATGCTCTAAGCTTTGAATTTCTGCTTAAGTTTAAGGGGATGTGGGCTTCTACTTCTTGCCGTCTCATTCAGGATTCGTACACACAGCTTATGGAACTTTACACAGATGCTAAAATACGTATCTTTGGGCCACGCCATAGCATGACATGCTCTTCAATTTAAAGTTGCGTCAACTTGTGTAGCCTCTGGCTGCCTGCTGCCTTTTTATTGTGCGTTATAATCCGCTTTATGTGATCGGATTATGTCCTGCGTTGCACCTAATCCCACCATAGTTGGGCGTCCGGTGACATGTGTAGCCTATGCGGAACGAAGCGTATCGTACCGTCTAGGCGGGCCACCCTCTTCACAGTTCAACTGATCCGTTCGCGTAGTCAACTTCAATTATACTCGCTCTATAGCTGGATTAAGGTTCCAGCCACGCCCTACTACCAGTTGAGACAGAAATGTAATTAAAATGTGTATCTGTTGGATACACACACACAAATTACACACAGCACACGGCTTGACAGGTGCGGGGTAGAAGTAATGCCTGAAAGTGAAAAGCGACTTTTCCAAAGATCTCTTCGTTAAGATTGCCGCGCAATAAAGTTAATTAGAAACTTTTGGGTAGCGCTTAAACGCCTGCTAGCTCATACCGCGCCCCCTCTCTCTTCGGTCATCGCCATTTGCTTTGCTTGCATATTCTAGTCAAATTAGAGTTAATTGCACCTCATTAAAAGCAAATTCTTAGAATTAATTTTACGTTTCGTCGAAAAAAGCAAAAGCAGCAACAACGCAACGCCAATAAACAAAATGGCCGTTCGCCACCGAAACACATCAGTTGCCCCATTCATTATAGTGTCAGATTCAACAAATAATTACAACCTGCAGCACACACATACATACACCTAAGAGTTGAAAATATCATTAAAAGAAACCGTTGAGTTAGCCCAAGGATGACCTAGGGAAATGCAATAAACTGAAGTCCTACACGATACTTAAACTCTCATTGAGATAATTATATGCTTCATCATTGTATGAGTGAATATATTACATTAACATTAAAAGTATTTTTCTTACAAAATCATTAATTTCTAGCTTAAAGCTTTTTTCATGTACATGAATCTGAATCTTTTGCTTATGTACAAATATTTTATATATTTTTCTTAAATACATTGTTATCTTTAGCTTCAAAAATTAATTTAAAGCATTGTTTCAAATGTTTAGTGTTTCGTATTACAAGCAGAAAGTAAAATATGTGTGGAAATTGATTGTTTTCAGTATGACAACTTCAATTTTATCAATCATTTATTCAGTTCGAGCATTTTATTCCAAAGTGGCCACTTATTATTATTATGCTTTGTGTTTTTTTCCGTTCAAGCTCCAACTATCTGCGACAGCTGTGACTTTACGTCATTAACGACTGTCTATAAAAGATTCTGCTTCAAGAAGTTGAAGAATAAGCGAGTAGCATATGCATATGTATTTGCATTTAGATTTGTATAAATTTCTTTCAGTTTCTTCTCAAGCTGTCCATAGCGACGGTCAACGCCATTTTGTATTTGTCAGCCATTTTGAAATACTTTGAACTATTACAATTCTTAAGAAACGTTTCATGGCGCATTCATACATTTTGACACTCGTCATTCAAGATAAGTGAGTGAGATAGCATATGCGAGAGGAAAGACCCCGATTAAATATTGCTGACCACACGACGGGGCCAAAGAGACTCAAACAGAAGACCGAGGCCATGCACGGCACCCCTAGAAGCACATACACATAAGTATGTATGTAGTAGTGTGGCGGCAATTGCATGATTGACGGTTGTGCTGAATGAGCGCACGTCATTTTCAGCCGCCAAGAGTAGCCTCATGTGCAAGTGTGAGCTACGATGGTTCATCTCCCACTCCAATAGCACTCAAAGTGTCTGCACTACTCGGAACTTGTATTTGTGAATCTGAATATTTAGAGGAGCTCACGTTCATGGCGCTCAAGCGCGACGAGACCGCAGCAAACAGCAAACACAACACAAGCAAGCACACATCCACATGCTTTAAAAGAGGCGAGTCATTCTCAGCCCGCTGCAGCTGATCTTGATGGAGAGCACTCTGCGGTACAAAAAGTGTGAGAGTAAAGGCGTCTGTGTGTGTATGTAGTGTGAGCAGTTGTTGTTGCCTTCTCCGCTTTGTAGTTACATATTTGCTTTACCTTTCACACCGAAACAGCAAAACCAGAAACCGAACAACAAACAGCACGAGACTTCAACACGAAAGTGAAACACAATTTTAGCAACGTCTGTGTGCTTTTGCATACATATGCAAGTGGATGCATGCGTTCGTGTATATGAGCGTGTGGGTGCTTTTGCATTTGTTTGTTGTTACAGTTGTTTGTTGTTATAGCATGGGAAAAGATAACGTACTAAATTGCACGAGACAATGGATATTTGTATTGTTTACGATAAGCTGCCTATGTATATATGTATATATGACTGATAAGCTGTTTCTGATGATTCAATAGATTGGGGGAGCGTAACAAGATAACGACAATTTCTTATCACAAAGTAACGATGGCACGAGCACGTGTAGCCAGCCCTCTTGCAAGTTATTAACCTCATCCATATAGAGATACATTAAAAGTGAACCAGCTCGATAACTTACCCGCTTCTCGGCACTATCGCATGGATTACCAACTGATGATGACGATGATGAGGATGTAGATGTTGTAGCCGCAGTGCTAGGCAAATGATTTGGCGGCAGCACATCCGATGCCACCGAATCCAATTGCTCTTGTTTAATGCCGGCGATCAGCGGAAGAAAGTCGTTCTTCAGATTTTCCAATTCCAAATCCATTGTATATTTTTATTTATATTTTTTCAGAGTATGTCAATCGTTTTGTGAATGCTGTATGGTATACGTGGGTGTGCGGTTTTGGTTTTGGGTTGATAACGTGGGCGTAGGCTAATTTTAGCGCGAGAATTTTATATTCACCAGCAGTTGACGCCCTTGGTGAACATTTTTAGTTATATTAGGATATCTATTCCATTTCATTGTTCATTCATTCCCGACAGGCGCAAGCCAAGTGGCAGCGATACAAAAACAACGCCAAATTGGCTGTCTGCACACACATCCACAGACACAACAATACATTCACGAACTTGCACACACACAAACAAGTCACCTTGTGCACAAAAAATAGTTTCGCTTTCGTATGAGACTTAAAGGTTTATTATTTTACACGGCGTTTTTGTATTCATATTGGCATTTTATGATACTTGTATTTGTTTGCAAATACATTATGAATTTCACCTTTAACTTCAAACGTTTTGCAAAATTTTTCTCTCTACTCTTTTTGCTCGAATTCCCACGGAGGCGAAAACTTTCATTGAAATGTTCACATTACGCTTTATTTTCCTTGTACTATTATATTGCACTGCACTGCGTTAGTTTATTTGCATTGAACGCTTTGGTAGCACAATTGTTTATTTGCTATTTAAATTAATATTTGTATTTATTTTATTGGCAATAAATTGCTAGGAAAACACACGGTCACGGCGTTTACTCTCCTTGGACGCTTCTTCTGTACAAAAATTTTCTACTCGCCATTTTGGATTCAACAGCGTTGCCAGAATTTTTTCAGTTGCGAGTAGCCGTACACGTTCATTCCTCTGTATATGTAGAGATTAATTAATTTACTACATTTATGTATTATATGTATTCAAATAAGCTTATGTAAGCTATAGTATATATGAATAATATGTGTACCTTCATTTTGTAATTGATATATTTAACAGATTGTTCATTTATGATTTGTGATATTGATAGGGTTGTAGCAGTTTTGACAGTCAAATATATGCGTGAAGACATGAAACCGTCATGCAGCAGCTGTGTTTTATTGCCAAGAACGGCACACGTGTAAAGTTGTATTTACTAGTATTTTATTTATTTATTTTTCAAATTGAATAAATGTTGCTTAGCCACATATTGAGCAGCTGCACAAAGGCAGGTGAATTTTAAAATATTATTTTATAAAAGACAGTAATAAAATTGATTTTTTTTTTATTTCACAGTTAGCCTAAGAAAATTGTTGCAAGCTGAAATTAACCGGAATAATTTTTATTTGCGTAAAAAATCCTTCGCGGCTGCCATGACTGAAGCACTCGACAAGCTGGAGCAGGAACGGGAGGCAAAGAAACTCATGAAAGACGCGGAGAATGCGTCTGTTAAAGAAGCTAATCGTTTGAAACGCACTCTTAAACGAAAGAAGTGGGTGGACTGGAAGGCACAAGATGAGGAGGATGCTGCGAATGGGAAAAAACGCCCTCCATTCGATCCCGCAGACCGCATTAAGCGAAAGAAGAGTGTCATTCTTTTGAGCTACTGCGGTGCTAACTACTATGGAATGCAACGCAATCCGGGTATGCAGACTATTGAGGAAGAGCTTTTCAAGGCAATGCTTAAGCACAAATGGATAACAGAAGACTCCTTCGACCAAGTACAAATAGCTTGTTTTCAACGGGCCGCACGTACCGATAAAGGTGTCTCGGCCGCTCGACAGGTGTGCTCTGTTAAATTGCGTAAGTAATTCAACTATGCAGTCAAGGATTACAATTTATAATAAATTTCTTTGCAGCCGAAGAACTGGATCTACAAGCATTCAATAAAGATTTACCAGAGCAAATTCGTCTCTTTGGTGTGGAGCGTGTTACAAAAGGCTTTAATGCCAAAGATCAGTGTAATGCACGCACGTACACATACACACTGCCCACCATAGCATTTGCAGCTTTCGAGGAGGAGCATGAACAAGAAACATACCGCATGACGAACGAGCTGCATGAGAAAGTTAATGCAACACTGAAACTCTATGAGGGCACAAAGAACTTTCACAACTTTACCAGCAAGAAGTAATGCAATCCTTGAGAGCTTTTGTTCATTAATATTAATATAATTTATACGTAGAAATTTTTTAGATCCGTCCGCGAAACGATTTATCATGTCCTTCACATGCAGTGCACCATTCCTAGCTCCACAATCCATTGAGTTTGTCACATTGAAGGTGAAGGGACAAAGCTTTATGCTACACCAAATACGTAAAATGGTCGGTCTGGCCATTGCCATAGTTCGCGGCAATACCACAATTGCAACGCTGGAGCGTGCATTGACCGAGGAGCGTCTGGACTTGCCAATGGCACCGGGCTTGGGCCTCGTACTGGATACTGTGCATTATGAACGTTACAATGATCGTTATGGAAACGATGGCATCCACAATCCATTGACTTGGACGGCGCAAGAGCAGCAAGTCACCCAGTTCATAGAGCAGTACATCTACTCAAATATATACAAAACGGAAGCTGAACAGCGAAACATGCTTGATTGGCTAAGTACTTTGCATTACCACTCCTATGACACGAGGCGGGACGACCCAGCAAAGAAGAATAACGAGGGTGATGATGGAGAAGAATAGCAAAACTGTTTATTTATAAGTTGACAATACAAAACCAGTTGATAGTGTTTATGTAATTGATACAGATTAAAAGCAAGTTATTGGTTACGACTTAGAAGCGTCCGCCCTTCTTCTTCTTGTGGCCACCTTTGCGATGCTGTTGCCTTGGACCGGGTGTAGGCTCCTGATATACGGGCGTTGCAGGCGAGTTCTTGTTTAGATTGGCACGATTGGACATGTCACTGAAATAAGAAAGAAGCGTTTATTTCAAGCCTATGAGAGCTAAAAATTGCACTTACTATTGATCAGCTGCTCCAGACGCCATGCCCTGGGATCCCTTGATAATATCCTTGGCTCGCGCACCGCCACGCTTCTTACGGAAACCTGTGCGCTCATACTTGGGCAACCATCGCTCAGGATCCGGCGCGACCTCGGCATTGTAGTTCTTGGGAAGTTTGCCTTTGCGCTTGCGATTACCACTCTTCATCTTATCAGTTGCGGGTGTGCTAGGCGAAGGTTCAACTTTCGCATTGGCCGTCTTTTTGGCTGCCTTTGCAGACATTACCCAGTTAGCCGCCTCGAGTGCATCAATTTCGGAAGCCGTTGTCAACGTTTCCAGTTTGGGCAACTTGCGGCTTATCTCGAGCGCACGCTTAGGATTAAATTGTGCATAGGCAATAACCAGCTGGGCTAGTACTTTCATATCATTGGGTTTCAGTTTGAGCAGTTCCTCCAAAGAACTGGCCGCTGTTTCAGAGGCTCCACCACGTAAATGGAACTCTGCAGCTTGTCGCCACATGTCCGACAAATCGCCGCTGCTCACATTATTCTGCTTATACCAGTCGACGGCTGACTTAAGCAGCGCCGATGCAGCCGGCTTATTGTCGGTGCCTAAATAAAGAGATACCAACGCTGAAACAATGCCAGGCTTGTACTTAGCCTCACCCAGCGAGAGTAGAGTTTCGATAGCATCTTTACGATTACCCTGACAAATTAAAAAAACCTTTTTAAATAAAGGAAACTTACGAATTCTTTGGATACACCTTTTCTACCTGAAGCAACTGCAACTGTATGATGGCAAATTTACTGATAAATTCATGCGTCTTATGTGCACTGGCAAACTTGTTCAGTTGCTCGATGGCCTCCTTGTGCTTCTTATCCTTGGCCAGTTGACTGCAGCGTATCAGCAGAGCCTCGAACTCCACTTGCGGATAACTTTGGGTTAACTTTTGTGTCAGCTGCTGGACTTGATCGCTGGAATTGGTATACAATGCCAAGAGGCAATTGTTGAGAGCTATTGTCTGCTTTTGGCGTGAGGTCAATTTTGGCTCACAGGCGTCAGCCATGGCAGCACGTATTTTCTTTTTGGAATCAAAGACATTCTGATCCTTATTGATGACAACCGTGTTGTTGCTGGCAACTGCGACCAACGCCGCATCCTTCGGCTTATGGCGTAGACATTCAGCATAAATAACGCTGGCCTCCTTTATTTTGCCCTGCTGTTGCAGACAATAGGCGAGCTGAACGCGTATAACATCCAGCTCTTCGAGTATTTCTTCCTCACTGGCACCCTCCTCTTCTAGAAAATCGCGACACAATTTTTCGCTTGTGCGCAGTTTGCGCTCCGCCTCTACGAATTTTTGGCGATTGGACTGAATGCAAGCACTGTTGAAGTACTGCTCGTAAGTGTCCTCGGGTACTTCCGGCACGTCTTTGTCCTTGTCCAATGCCAAATTGGCTGCCACTGCACTGAGATTAGTCCGTCGCTCGTCCTCGTAATCGTCACTGCTGTTCTTGATGATCTCTTTGTACGCATCTAGGCAATCCTCGTAGCGCTCCAAACGATATAATATTTGGGTGCGTAATTCCTTCAGCTTTGCTGGCAACGGCTGCATTGCAGCATCGTCGATGGTTTTGAGTGCCTGAAGATGCTTATTCAGGCGGTACTCGCAGTAGGCCTTCTCAAAGATCAGCACAGTGGCGAGACGATTCTTCTCAATAAACCTGTGAGCCTCATCGAACTTGGACAGCTGCATCAGGCATACAACTTTGCAGTGCAGTGCAGTTTGATCATCAGGAGCAACTCCCAGAACTGATAATAATCGAATGGTTATAATTGAGCCAAGCGCTGGCACATGTCTTGTTACTTACTGCGATTAACGGCTTTAACCGCCTTGTCAAATTCCTGATTGTTGCCAAATTTGTGAACATCTGCATAGGCCGCTTTTATAAGCGCCTCCTTTGGATTTGCGTCTTTCGACATTATAATAATAAACTATGAAAATCTTTTTTGACACTGAACTTTCGCCCTGCTAGAAATTTTGACAGGTTGGACACATCAGCAACAATAATTTCGAGTGTTGCCACAGCAAGACTGTCAAACGTGCAGAGTAACCGGACTGTCTCTAATATTATCGCCGATAAATGGTCCCTGTCAGCTGTATATCGATTAACGATTAACAATCAACAAAACGTACTCGCTGGCGACGCCTTTGCGAGATCCATTGTGTGCGTGTTTTTTGTGTAAATTATTGCAAAATGTCGGCTGAAGTTGATTTTATAAACAAAAAGGAAGTGCATCTCCGCACTCTGAAGCAGTCCGGACATGTGGGCTTTGACAGTTTACCCGATCAACTGGTCAATAAAAGCGTACAAAATGGATTCGTTTTCAACGTTATGTGTATAGGTGTGTATATACAAATGTGGGTACATGTGTGTGTATGCGGCATTGCCTAAGTGTGTGTATGTATATACAATGAATCAACGAAGAGAAATGTGTGGAGTTGTAATAAGTGCATTGCACACAGATTCTAAGCCACACAAGCAATACATGACTCACTAATATACTCAAATATATGTATGCATGAACGTAGTTTCATATGTATGTAAACAATTGAAATCGGCGCGAGCAGGCCGCAGCCGATTAATATGCAAAGTGTTTAGCAATCGATTTTCATTTATTAGCTTTCTATAATTTCACCCTGATGCCAGTGCTGTTAGAATTTGAAGGGCATAAAATACTCAACTAGCACAAAAACGCTTAGCTATTAATAAATAATTGAACATTTTCGATATTTACTAAATTACATTATTTATCTTTATTATATAAAAATTATTTGATTTTAATTGAATTTATTAAACCATTATAGAATCCATCATTTTTTTTTTTACATTTAAACAAACTAAGAGCTAAAAATGAAAGCAAGAACATTTAAAAAATATGCTTCTGCTTATAACACAAATATATTATTCGAGATATGCAGACCCAATATCATAAATTTCTAGTCACAATTTTTTTACAACACTTACATTTAAAATTTAAAAAAGCTAGACATAGCTATAACAAAGCTAGAATGGCATCACTGCTTGACACAAATGTATGTCTAGTGTTCAATTGAAGACACTTAAAATAACTTACGAACAATATGAGTAACATGTACCTCTTTTTACTTAAGGCGAGACGGGTCTGGGCAAATCAACATTGATGGACACCCTGTTCAACACTAGTTTCGAGTCGACGCCGAGTCCCCATACGCTGCCTAGCGTTAAATTGAAGGCCCACACATATGAGCTGCAGGAGAGCAATGTGCGGCTGAAGTTGACGATTTGCGATACTGTTGGCTATGGCGACCAAATCAATAAGGACGATTCGTTCAAGGCTGTCGTCGATTATATCGATGCCCAGTTTGAGAACTATTTGCAGGAGGAGCTGAAAATTAAGCGCTCTCTTGTCACGTGCCATGATAGTCGCATACATATTTGTCTGTACTTCATATGCCCGACGGGACATGGACTGAAGTCCTTGGATCTGGTCTGCATGAAGAAGCTAGATAGTAAGGTGAATATAATACCGGTGATTGCCAAAGCAGACACTATCTCCAAGGTGGAGCTGCAGCGCTTCAAGGCAAAAATCATACAGGAACTTAACACCAATGGCGTCCACATCTATCAGTTTCCCACTGACGATGAGACAGTGGCGGAGACAAATAGTGTCATGAACTCGCACATTCCGTTCGCCGTTGTTGGCAGCACTGAATTTATAAAAGTGGGTAACAAGCTTATCCGTGCTCGTCAATATCCCTGGGGAACGGTGCAAGTGGAAAACGAAACACATTGCGATTTTGTCAAGTTGCGAGAAATGCTCATACGCACAAACATGGAGGATATGCGCGAGAAGACGCACACCCGACACTATGAGTTGTACCGTCAGAAGCGGCTGGAGCAGATGGGCTTTAGTGATGTTGATAGCGAAAACAAGCCTGTCTCCTTTCAGCAAACTTTCGAAGCAAAGCGCTCCAATCATCTGGCTGAGCTGCAGTCCAAAGAGGAGGAGGTGCGTCAGATGTTCGTTCAGCGTGTCAAGGAGAAGGAGGCTGAGTTAAAAGACAGCGAGAAAGACTTGCACTTGAAGTTTGAAAAATTGAAGCGGGATCATGCAGAAGAGAAGCGCAAGCTTGAAGAGTCTCGCAAAGCACTCGAGGAGGACTATCTGGACTTTCAGAGACGCAAGCAGCAGTTGGCCACAGCACATCACACCCTTACGCTGGGCAAGAGCAAGAAGAAGTGAATTGACAGCATTAGCATTAGCTATAAGCAAATGTCTTTGAGTATTTTGTGCGTTTTGCGTATCCCAAAGTAATTATTGCTTTTTCATCTCGTTGTATTTCATTTATGCTATTAAGTTTTTTTCAAATATTAACATATACACACACCAATATACATATATATGCATACATACACATACATAGGTATGATTATTTACAACTAACGAATAAACGATATTAGTATTTTAAACTATAAAATTGAATATCGCGTTTTGGTGGAGTGAGAAGCGTAAATTCAACTCAAATGAGCGAATAAATGAACAATAGGGTATATCGAATGACTCGTGTTTCACGAACCAGTCGAATCGCTGGGCTAGTTCATTCAGTTCAGTCTATCGTTCGGGGCTGCACCGAACGATTTGGCAACACTTACTTGCAGTTCTATAAAATAAACGAAAACGCAATAATTATTGTTGCGAATGATTGATGTGCAGATGATTTAGAAATAAAACCAACTATAAAGCAATTAAAAGTGTTCAACCTACTGTATACAATAAATAAGTGATTGAAAAACAGGCGTAAAACAATTCTAAACTGTTTGAGTGTATGTGTGTATTATTTTTTGTTTGTTCATAGGGGCGGGAGTGCAAGTGCACTATAAGATATTTTTCATAAGTGTAGTCGGAAATACCAGACGCCAATTGGTTGCGTTGCAAAAATGCATAAAATTAGCAGCCCAGCGTTAGCGTTCTCTTTAGTGCTATACGTCTTACTACAAACAGGTAAGAACGAGTCCAAATACCAATCAATAAGAGTTCGTGAATCTTTAAATATGTTTAATAAATCTCATTGTTTCTAGTTTCTTGTAAACATGTTGTTATAACGGCACCACAACATGTGCTGATTGGAGCCACGGTAAATGTTAGTGCTACTTTATACGATGGGAGCAATATTGCTAGCAAAGGCAGCTATAGTTTTAGCTGGAAGGACAACACTGGCCATACGAAGGTAAAATACGTTGCAAAAAGAAAGCGCATTCAACAGAACTCACTATGACTAACGAAATGTACGCATAACGGGAACGCTACTGTTTGTTTCGCAACGAACCGCACATGCCCTACGTCTGTCCCAACTTAATTTATTGTTAGGAAAGAATGCATGAGCTGGAATTGTTGAATATGCGCTTGATAACATCAGCAAATTTGATTTGTGGCTTTTACGAACAATGTGTGCATTTAAAACGGTTTTCAAAACGTTGTATAAGACACGGTGATAATAATAAAATAGATTTTAGATACCATTTCAATTGAATATGTATGTGCTCGATATGAAATTTACAATGCAAATTTTTACAATCATTGGATTTGTTGACAGCCGTGCCTGGCACGATTAGATACCCTACATGAGTGTAGGGTCTGTGTGGGTCATGGCTGCTTAAGCACTTAGATTGGATAACTGATCCGTTTCCATTTCATAGATTATGATAATTGGTTTATATATTTTCTATTATGACGCTTTCATATTCTATTCAATGCTTAACTTTATAAGCTTTATAAGCTCAAATTCATCATTCCATAAGATTATAAATATATACAAAACATGTATTCTCTCGTTGGGTTGCTTTAATACAATCGAAACTACACACAAAAGATAAATGATTTATATACTTGAGTTTTCCCCTATGACCATACAATGCGGCTTTCGTGATTAATTTGCGTCACAGCTGTGCTATTAAAAGCAAGCGTAATGAGCTTTGCTGCGCCCCTTTATTGTAAACTAAAGACTAATTACGTGTTTCATTTCAATTTACTGATATGTAGGAATTTGAAACAACGGAACCAATCAGCAATTGGACTTTCGAATATGCTAAAGATATCAATCTAGGACAACATAAACTTGAAGTCAGTGTTTCAGAGAAGTTTATAGTTTGGTTTCCGGTTGCCGACAGTTCGGTGGCTATCAATGTAGTCAACACCCTCACCGGCAGTTTGCAGCTAATACAGAATGAGAAAGTGCGAACACAGGACTTTGTATCCACACAGGCTATAGTTAATCATAGTATTGAACTATGGCCAGCGGACTTGGATTATTTAATAAGCAATCATTACTATATAAATACTTACTGGTTCAAAAACTGTACATATCTGGGCATGTCACATGTGCTTGACTTTCAAGATATATATACAGTGCCCGATCAATATTATACTATTGAGGCTCTTGTGGTTGCATCACCATTTCCTCTGCCAGAGCCAACAACATCCACAACAACTACGACGACTACTACAACGACCACCACAACGACCACCACAACGACTAGCACCACGCCGCCTACTACAACGTCAACGTCCACAACACCCGCCACAACAACGTCAACAACGTCAACAACATCAACATCAACAACAACAACACCAGCACCAACAACTAGCATCACGACAAAAACATCTCGGTCCAGACGTGATATTAACCAAACCATGCATGCAAATGCTAAGTTGTTAGGGATTAACCTCGCAGCTGCTGTTAAGCAGGAGCTACAAAAGCAAAACATCACCGGTACCACATCTGTGGCCCTGGTAAATCCTTTAGGTGTCCGAAAGCTTAAACTCCTTCCTGCAGCGGCACCATCTTACACTTGCATAGACGGCAACGTTGTTGCCCAGGATACAAATAATACATACGGTTACTTTCAGCGAAGGGTCGTCTCGAAAAGTATGTAGATGAAGCGGAGCAATTCATATGAAAATGTATTAAATAATATTAATTTTTGCAGCACCCATCTCTGACTTTAGCACTAGCGGTAAAAACTGGGTAAAGCATTGGGAGCTGACTAATTTACAAATTACCTGTAAGGGTTCCGCACCGTACGAGGTGTGCATTCAATATTACAATGGTGCGTATATAAATATATTAGCTTTTTAATACAATATATTTAATTATTATGCATTCTACTACAATTTTATGATGGACCTCAGATTAAATATCATTTTTAATATTTTATTTTCTCAGACTTAAATTTCAATTCAGACTGATATATTAATTTTTCAAAATGATTTATTAACTGGCCTACTTCATTTGCTTAGCTCCATACAATGCCACGGGCAACGAAACGTGCAGTAGCTATGACAAATTCGACAAGTGTGATTTTAACTTCGCTCGTTATTTCGGTGATAGCAAGACAATTCTGTTTTTCATACGCAATGATATCTCGGCGACCGTAAACCAGGTTACCGTTAACATCTATGAAGGTTGGTAAAATAACCTCGATACATTTTAATATTTTGGTTAACTTGATGAGTTTGTTTCCAATCTTCAATCAGCGAAACGACAGTCACAGCTATCGGTTGTAGTTGTGCCCATTGCCTGCACTCTTGTGGCCGTTTGTCTGGTCATCTTTGGCGTAGCCTATTACATACAGAGCCGGAATCGGTGAGTACTATGAATCCTGAACATAAATCTAACAAATAACTTATTTTGATTTTATTTTAGTTTTACGGTAGAAGTGGCCGATTTCAACTTTGGTGATACCCAGTCAGTGGATATGGAATACAAGACATTCCAGCAGCGTTTGATCGACAGTATACGTGATGCCTGGCCATGGCCCAGGTGGCGTCGGTATTCGCTGTCAAGCACGGATCTCATGGCCGAACAACCGTCCAATCCCGGTAGCTTTGGCGGCAATGTTGGCGACGTTGACAGCAATTTGCGCTATAATACTTTTAACTAAAAGCAAACGGCATTGCTTTATTGTTATTATTATTCTTTAATCAATTTAATTTAAATATTGAACTTAGTTTATAATTTTGATTTCTTTCAATGGGAGCGTTTCGTATTTTGTACTCATTTGCATTGTAATGCATGACGTTTACGTTGACGTTTTCTTGTTGTCCCCTTAAGCCTGTTTATTCACAAATTTTTTATCTTTTTCGTCCACATTAACGCACACTCGCTCATTAATCGCCAAACGACATGCAATATTCAATAGCAAATGGATAAACTTTATGAACGCAATCGAAATTCTTATAAAATGTTTAAAAGACTGTCTTTGTTCTAAAAAAAAATAAGAAAAAAAAGAGATAGAAGGAAAGTAACTTATGCTGCAAATCTGTTTTATATTAAGTGTTAGCATAATATAATATCATGTTTGTAGACATAAGAATGTAAGGATTCCTAGCTCTTGAAACTTGATAACAAAGGCACCGCACATACATACATTCATACACAAAACAACCAAACAGACAAAATATAATTATTCATTGTGATAGAACTAACAGTATATTTGTATGTTAAAAACAAACAAAACAAAAAAGAAGAAAAACTGGTCAATATGTAACACTGCTAAAATGACACGGTTAGTGCCGGACAAAAATAAGAGTCTAAATAGGAAGACTTACAATTAAATACATATGTGTACATATACAGATATAATATCTAAATTATTGATTATTCTTAAATGGGTATTAAAATAATAAATAGATTAAAACAAATTAGCCACATTCATTTTTGTATTTTGAAAATACGCAAAAGTGAGCCGGCTAACGCAAAATGCTCCAAACCTAATTGATGCATGTAAATTAACAGAAAATGTTACATTAACAGAATACTTTCTAAAAGCATTTTATAATGCCATAATTGCGCACTAAAACTAGTTCCTCAATTTGTTGAAGTTCTTTTCTGCGCTAAAAAATGTTTTTAAATGATATTGGGCAGCCTTTAATATTGAATTCTAAAAAAACTTATGGTCCTTACGAGCAAGTAAGCCAAATTAATAAACTCATTGAAATAATTAACAATATACTTATTTATAAACTAGCATAATGGACCAATGCTGTTAACATCGGCCGCGTTCCAGGATCACATAGTTCCTACAAGTTGGTGTGGCCGAATTATTGGCTCAGCTCATGATGTGGCTCGTTTCCAAGGTGCGTTATCCGAAACCAGTCAAAGATATGAGTATAATGTTTTAAAGCCCTTCGAACCAGTGAACATTACGTATGATAAAGCCAAAATTAGTTTAACTTTGATACCAGCAGGACAAAACGAATATTATGGACCTGCTATCTTGTATTACCTAAAGAGTAAGTGACTCGGATTTATAAAGTCTATATAGCAAAAATTTATTTTTAGATGACTGCATAAGATCACTAATAGCTGACAATTTGAGCGGCTATTTGGACTTTATACCAAAGTCCGGTGCAACATTTCATCGTGCTATTGGCAATGGCATAGATGTCCTGTATTTTGATGACTTGTGCTATGCGTCCGAGGAGGATGAGGCATTAGCGCAAAGAGAGTATATCTATGCTTTCATACAGCTTATAAGGCCGAAGTATTTGTATGGATTAAGACAAGATAAATTACCAAAGTATTTGCTCGATTTATGCGCGTAGTAGGATATGATGATTGATCCCAATAATAGTCACAATGAAGTATCGTAAAAATTTTAATTTACAAGGGAAAGTTGGTTATTGGTAGATATCTAAAAGCTTTAACTAAACTTAACGCAGCTCCAGGCTTGCATTATCCCTTAGTTGCCTTGGCCTTGCTTTTCACTTTCTTAACGCGCTTAAGACCATCCATTTTACTCTTCATAAATTGTGAGTACATCGCCATCATTGTGGGAACATCTTCCTGACGAACTACTGTGGAAATCTAAATAAACGTATTGTTTGAACTATCAAAATATATTAATAAAGACTTGTTGCTTACCTTTTTGGATTTGAATTGGGCACGCATTAGGCACATGTATGTTTCTGGTTTGGCCAGCGGCTTTTTCCCCTCACGAGGCACAGGTCGATCATGCCCATCGTCTAATATCGGAAATAGGTGAGAATGTTAAGAAGTCGCATACGGGTAATGTGGATACTTACAGCGTTTGAATGTCATCGTAAAGGAAGCATTCTTTTTCGCCTCATTGGCAATCTTCTCCAGGCGCAGTATAAACTGTAATTAAATGCTAAATTATTTAAGAATTTCACGGTTAAAGTATTTATTTACGTTAGCATTATCGAGCAAAACCATTTCGTGGCAGATATTAGACCAGGCGTAAATTGACACTTGTGCGCTATGGATTATTTAGTACATTATTGTTTGGTGTAAACTTGTATTACTAACAGACTGTTAAGTAACATAATTTCTGACGCACAAATATTCATGAACTGCCAACTTATATATGTTGTTAAGTTGGCAGGGCTGGCATTCGGTCTTGCTTCGCCAAAAAAAAAATTTACATTAAAAATCGTAAAATTCTACGAAAACTTACAAGTGCAGGCAATCGGCTAGGCTGTTGAACGCCCAAACACTCCCAAACGTCGCCATCACCACAGTTGCACTACTAACACACCGAAGCTAGCACAACCAGCGTGCATTGGCTGATGGTGTAAGCAGAAACGATCGAACGACTCGACGACCGCCAAAGGAAGTGCCCTCCGCCCGCCCACGCCAGCAGCAGAAGCAGCCGTAGTAGGCAACGACAATAACAAATTGTAACACAACCTTCAGGCCACTTGGCAGTAGTCAGCAAAAGGCATCAAACAACAAATTTTCAATTATGGTAAGCACGCCGGTCTTCGACGTAGGTCTGAAGGATATGTTGACGCTGGTTAGGTTGCAATTCATTAAAGCACATACACACGCGCGTCAGCACACACGCACACACACACCGACAGGGGACATGTGTACGGTGAATAAGCAAATGCCGCGCAACATCGCCATCGCCGTCGTCATCGCTGCTGCTTCTGGTGTTGCTATGAACTTTGACCGAAACATTCTGATTATTTTCTTACAGGACGTGTTCCTCATGATCAGAAGGCATAAGACAACCATCTTTACGGATGCTAAGGAAAACACATCAGTTATTGAACTGAAACGCATGATCGAAGGCAAGTATAGCAATATATCTACATATTTCTCTATGTTTAGTATTCGCGTTTGTGAGTGTGTGTGTGTGGGTGTTTGTGTGCGTGTGTCGTGTGTTTAAGTGTTATTCCTATTTATAGAGCACATTTTTGATTATTAAGTAATTTTATAATCATTGGCAGGCATTTTGAAAGTGTTGCCTAGCGATCAGCGGTTATTCAATCAGGACAACGACGTCATGGAGGATGATCAAACGTTGCAGGACTACGGCGTTACGGTATCAACAGCAAAGGCTCAAGCCCCAGCACAATTGGGCCTAATATGCAGGTGAGTTATGTTCGATTACCTTTCCCTGTCATTCACAGTTCCCGTTATGAAAGCCGCGCTTTGAGTCACGCTGATAAGCCCCTAATATTGTTTTTTTTATATGTACATATTAGAGATGAGAGCGTGATTTTCTCTTTGCTCTAAACGATTTTTAAGTTAATTTTGTTGTTCGTTATGTATATAATTTAGAGAGGAGGACGTGTTCGTTGTTTTGACTCTCATGGTAAAAATAAATTTTATTTATTCTTTAATATGCTATGCTACACGACTTTTTACAGATATTATTTTATTTTTGTTTGGTTTGCGAAATTTGTAATTGCTATAGAATTTAATTTAATTTACTAACCATGTTTGCACAAAAATTAATTATTTGGCTAGAACATGACTTGTTAGGTCGCGCATCAGCATGTTCCAAAATATGTCACGACACGCACTCAACGCTAGAAAATTGTACATATGTTATCGGCCGACTCGCATAATTCCACACGTGTGCCGTAGTTGTTATTGAGTTGACATTTTACTAATGTGATTTCTCCGCAGGAACGAATCGGGCGATTTCGAGACGCTGGATATCACGCCCTATTCAGCACCGCCTGACTTACCAGAAGTGATGAAAAATCAAGAGGCCTCAAATGGACAAGAACAAGTGGCATAAGATCAACAGCAACAGTAACATAAAAATCAGCAACAGCAACAACAATTAAAAAAACAATAAAAATTAACAACAAGAGCAGTTACCATTTGGACATCGCTGCTGCTGTCGCATGCGAGACACCACTAAATTGCTGAGAGTCAAATTTACTATCGCTCGCTTGTCCCACACAACACAGTCAACAAAACTCTCTCGATGCAATGCTAAATGTTTCGAATTGTACTACAGTTTCTTCTCTGCCTGGTCACACAACAACAACATCATCAACAACAAAAATAACAAACAGCAACAATAGCTAATTATGTATGCATTTTTTCGTCGGTTATAGCAAGGAACAATTTAACAATATGATTCAAAATTATAATTTGAAATGGGATTTGTTAATCTTATTTTTTTTTTATATTACCTATTTGTTTGTTTCTTATGGAATTTGTACGAATTTGTCTAAGAAGAGAAAATAGATACTACACAAAATTTAAATGAAAATTTATGAAATGAAAGTCACAATTGAAATAGCTTATAACAAATTGCAATTGATGATTAATTGATAATTGAGCAAATGGTGAATATTTAAAATATTGGGATTTAAATTTATTATAATTTATAATCAAATTATGATTATTATTATTATTGTAATAATAAGATTTAATTATTATTAAAAAGGAAAAAATCTACATTACTAATCACTAATCACTATCATCCATTCCCGAGCCGGCGGCTGCTGTAACAGCGGCGACTTCTGCATCATTAGCATCTGTCGCGGCTCCATCGTCCTCCTCGGCGCTATCGATAAAGGAGGCGTTGCTGCTCTGCTGCAGTTCCAAGTGCTCCAAATACTCTTGCAGCCTATCCTGGAAGAAGTTGATGTAAGTCTGTTTCTGCTGTGCCGTAGCCGGAAAATAGTGGCCGCCACTATGCTCAAGCACTTCCACATTCCTGAAGTGAGCAGCTAGCGATTCGCTCATCTCTTTGGGAATGATTTCATCTGTCAAGCCATAGATGTGTAAAGTGGGAATAGTGATCCGTTCCTCGTACGCGCTCATATGAACCAGACTGCCAGATATAAAGCCAGAGCTGAGCACAGCGAATTCAGGTCGAATGGAGGTCACTGTTTGGGAAAGTGGGCGTAATGTGTAATTGGCCCATCCAAGCGGTCGACGTACTTACATTTCTTTTTGGCCAGCCCACATATCAGTCCCACAAAGCAGGCACCTTGCGAGAAGCCCAGAAGTCCCTGAAAGGGGCCCTGTGTCTTCCAAACGTTTTCGACGCTGCGTAAGCTCTCTTGAAACCCGTATGCCGGGCCGCTTCTGTTGGTGCCTTTGAATGTACCATCATCTTTGTTGGCCCACCAACTGCGCTGCTGCTCCACTGGCTCTGCCGATGGGTCCAGGGGCGCTGCTACGTGGGGTGCCGAGATAAACACAAACTCGGCATATTTACCAGCGAATTTGCGAAACGAACCCAGTTTATTTTTAAATGAATCCGCTTTAAATTCAACATAAAATTAGTTCCATTATCAACATTATTAAACATTATTGAACATTAGAAGTACCAACCATCTTGCCGGTATCCGTGCAGGCAAAGAACTCGAACTTTTTCGGTTATCTCCACCTTGGTGGTAGAAGATGTTGAAGCGCCACCGCTTGCTCGACTCGAGCCAGCGGGCTCTGATTCGTTATTGGTCATAATGGAAATGAGAGTCGCAGCTGCAAAAAAAGTGCCACAAGTAGAGCTACAATAGTATTTTTAGGTTATACAGATGAGCAGCTGATATACCGAATGCTAGAGATGTGACTGTTAGTTCATTTAGAGCTGGTTCAAAAATCAAATGTGCTGGTGATGACAACTAAGTTAACTAACTAAAATAAGGCTGTCCCTTTCTTTAAGTTTGCGTTGGCGGCATCTACGAGTCAAATAAATCATGGTTTAGTTAAGCGTCATCTGTTGTGAATATATTATGTGTTGGCGCCATCTGCCCAACTGTGTTTATCAAAATCATTTAATTCATTTAAAAGGAAATAATCAGAAAGATCCCCATGTAGAAAAGTACCTGTATATTAGCAAGGACACATACCATTACTTGTCCTTGAAAGAGGTATTTTATATTTAAATTTCCTACATCTGTGCTACGTTGGTATTATCAATACGTAACACATATTTAAATATTATCCGAATCGTAACGGCCAGGAATAAAAAGGAACAAAAGTTAAGATTTCTAAATGAAATATGGACGTTAAAATAAATAATAAATTCAAATTTAAAAATTCGGACCGCTAGACCCGACAGGTGTGCATATGTTATCTTTCCTCTCGCTCGTCTTCTCTACGCCTCGCAGACCTTTTATTGGACACCTCACATTGCCCACGTCGTAATATTAATTTGCTGATTTATTAGCAAACGGCACTTCAGGCGTCGGCGATAAATTGTAATGCAAATTAAATGAATGCTTGCGTATTTCGCATTTCATTTTGGCCATTGTTGAGGTTGAGCTGGAAATGGTTTAACGCTCGTAAATTGGTGCAGGCATTTGCCAGTTATGCGTAAATTGTAAAATATTTATGTGTTACAAACTATTGTTGCAATTTGGCATACGTGTATCTGTGTCTGCGTGTGTGTAGATGTGCTTGAATGCAACCAAATTAATAGAAAAATGCATTTCCGACTGCAACTCATTACGAATGGAAGCGAAACCCACAGAAATGAAAGAAGCAAATATATATAAATATATATATAAGTGTACAGTATACATACATACACATACATATATATATAAATATATATTTGTATATAAATAACCCATCGAGCTACCGCAAATGCACAGCACACTCCACACGCCCACACAGAGGCAACCACACACTGTGAGTCGATAGAAAACTGTTAAATATTTGATGTTGCTGCTATTTCACGCTTGTAAATCGCAAACAAAGCCACAAACAGCCGGTCAGGGCAGCTTTTAAATGCGAATAAAACCAAAAAGTTGCCAGGCCCAGCTTTTAGGCTCAAAAACTTCATATGCACACTTGAAGCTTATGCATACGTACATCATCAGCCGTATCGGTATCTGAGTCTGCCTCTGTCTGCATGTATTCGTGCCTGTATATCTGCATGCAACTGTTTTCGTTTCCTTATCCATTGCCTCCATATCTGTATCTATTTGTATTGTCGAATTTGGGTCTTTAATTGTAACTGCATCCATATCTGTATCGGATTGTATAAGCTCACATGTATTGTCCTATCTGCATCTGCATCTGTCAAATATAAATTTGTATTTATATGCTTACATATATATATATATATCTGTATCTGAATCTATATATTTATCTGCATATATATTTGAATTTATATTTGTATCTGTAAGTGCAGTCGTATGTTTATCTATATTTATATCTGCATCTCTGAATATTCGTATCTATATCTGCATCTTTACTTGTATCCAGATCTGCTTTTCTTATTCTGTATCTATATCCAATTATATATTTGTATATGTGTACGCTTTTGTATCTGTATCTGTATGTATATGCTTACCTTTATCTCTATGTGTATCTGGTTACATATAAATCTGCATATATATCTGTTCCCTGTAGATCCCCTTCTGATCTATATCTTTATTCTTATATGCATCTATACTCGTATCTAGATCTGTTTTTTGCATCTATATCTGCACCTTCACTTATATCTTCATCTGTATGTATAAGGCCTCTATTTTCGCATCTATATCTGCATCTGCATCTATATTCTTATCTGCATCTGCATCTGCATCTATGTCCATTTCAGCATGCACATCTGGAGTAATGTGGTCATGTGGCCGGAGCAACAAGCGCATTGAATATTTAAATTAAATGCCATCAACTTGAACCCAGCTCCGGCTGCAAGAACTGGCAAATTTTTGCCAGGTGTTGTCATTGGAGAATTCACTTTTCGAGTGAAATGCACAGCATTTAAATGGCGTTAACTAAATTAATAACCATAAATCACATTTAGTGCATTGGCATCTGCCGAGGGCGTCAATATATCTCTCTGGCCACTTTGGGGGTTTGGGGCTCAGTTTGTTTTGTCAAGCCCGAATGACTTATTGCTCAGGTGTTGATGAGTTTATTGGCCTTGCGGCCAAAATATTGCACCAATAAATTTCAATATAAAGCAAACAATTAAATTCTTTTGTAAAAATTTTAATTGCTTTAATTGATGCTCAGCCTTTTGATACATTGTTTGAATACGGATTAAAATATAGACTCTGCAACGAGCTCTCATAGTGCACAGTCTTCTCTTTGCTCTATAACAAGAATTCACACAGACCAACTGCTGCTCTGCTGCCCACAGATATGTTACGATGCATTGGTGAATTGGGCGAGGTCGCACTCAATTATTAGGTAACAATCTTTGCAGATATTAAAGCGTGACTGTGTTAAGTGAAACAGCAATTCTGGAAGCTAAACTGAGGCTGCTGCAATATACTTTCAGCATTGTTTTTAACAGCAAATCAGGTCTTTATGCTGCCAGATTGCACTTAACGTGACTCAACTCCTAATAGCCCTGCTTAATAACTAAGCCCGTTCGGAATGATCCGAAAATTGCCAACAGCAACTGGCAGGCGCTCTGACTTATGAGTGTATATTTATTTGTGTAGGTTTGTAAATTTATTTATATATATATATGTGCTAAGTTTATATGTTATTAACGTATGAGGTGTCTGTAGTTCGTGAGAGTACTAAGTACTCTAAAGAGCCCAATAATAGTAATACGTACTAAGAGTATTGGCAGTGCCTGCAGGCTTATAAGAGCTCAACCAGTTCAAGCAGATATCGGAGTTAGGTACTCAGAATGCAGCCTTATATCGAGCATAAAATATAATTATTTTCAAAAAGAAGAAAAAAAAACTTGCAATCGCAAAGCGAACGCGCCTCTGTGAGCATGCAAACAGAATAATTGCTTAAAAGCAATTATTATTTAATTAGCAGAGCAGCATAAATAAATAACAAAAACAAAAAAAGAAGCGGCCACAGCAGGCGAAAGGCAACAAAGGCGGCGTCGAAATATGGCACAAGTGGAAAGCGAAAAGCGGAAAGCAGAAGAGGCCGCAGAGCATATTGGGGGAATAGAGTAAAATGAAAATGAAGTATGCCATTAAAATCGATCTCATTACTTAGCAACCAGGCAGGCAGCCACAGAAAGTCCAGCAGCCCAGCAGCTCAGGGCTGAGGGGTAAAGCGTGGACTGGTCCAAAAGTTTAATAACTGAAAATGCTCAAAACACAAAAACCTCAAAAGTAAAAAGCTCTTACAAATGTCCAGTGAGTGCAAAAAAAAGAAGGAAAAAAGAAAAACAAATCAAAACAAAACAAAACCAAGTCCAGAAATCAAAAGCAAAATTCAATCAGGCATTAAACATTAAACAGAAAAAAGAATAGAAATGAAAGAAGCCCCAAAGGCTGAGCGGGAGGGTGAGAGAGAGAGAGAGAGAGAGAGAGAGAGAGAGTAGGGCGGGAGTGGGGAGCTGCTCCAGCGGAAACACAAAGCAGTGTAGGTAAGTTAAGTAAAAGATAACTGGCCCTCTAAGACCAGCCGAACGGAGGTCATCTTTGAGCAGCTGCATTTCCGGCTACAGAAATGGAAATGGACATGGAAAAAATGTTTTAATTTCTGTTTGCGGCATTCCTTGTGCTTCGTTTGCTTTGCATCCTTTTCATTGTTCTTCTACATTTTCGATGCTGGAGCAGTATTTATCACTTTGAAGATAAATGCTACAGTAATTAAGGCACAACATCACTCAGGCACTTGGCTTTAAGTCTGCCCAAAAAAGTATGCTATGGTCGCATTTAATCTGTTCCCGACTTAAAAGCGTTGAAGCATTTGCTGCCAATGGCCAATTAATTAACATCATTTGACAAAGAAGACACTTAATATTGGTTTTTAATTGAGCTGTGAATATTTGCTAATCAACTTAATAAACTTTGGCATTCAGACTGAGGATTCCATGCCGAAGGACGCTGATCAAATTTCAGTTCGAGCTGCGCAGCCTTACCCCAACTAGCTCTGATTGGCCATTGAATATTTGAATGCACTTGTCGAAGGCATTTCGATTACTGTATCATTTCGAATATAACAAGAGGTTCAATAAAAACTACCCTGAAAAAACTGGAATATAGTTTGAAATACTTTAGTTGCCTTTGAAGTGCTTTTTTCACTTTGGCTCCGGTTTTTGCATGTGTTATTGGGCGAAAGCAACACAATGAAGCCGCAGCCTGGTGGCCAGCAGCCGCATTTAAGTGCAGCCATAGCAAAGTCACCTGCTGCAGTCACGGCTGGCCGCAAATCGATTAACTTTGGCTTCCCAATTAGCAGCTGTTGCGGCTCCAAAAAGCTTGCCTGGCTGTTGCATTAATTGTTGCACATTGATTATATGAAGACCCCTCAACTGGGAATTAGTGTGCAGCAGCTTTAATCGGCTCATTGTAAATGACATAAGCGAGCTAACTGAGGCGCAATGCTCTGATCTATTTGTGGCCAGAGCCGAATATTGCGCCCTCAGGCAGACAAATCCCAAAGCTGTTGTTCGGGTCAACTCTAAGAGCTTGCTTATTGGCTTTTGGTAGAAATTTTGCATTAATTCATTTATGTTGCGTATTTAATAGCACAGCTTATGCTGAAAGCCTGCCGCAAACGGTAAATACGAACGTCGACGTAACGAGCTGCATCGCACAGTTCAGAAACCGCCAATTGCATACAAA